TTCCAGAAGGGTCCCGGCCATTTCCCGTACCTGCCAAGGTCCTTTGTGCAAACACAGGGCCCTCCCTTTTACACCCAAGTCACGCCACACCACAGCCTAGCGGCTAACACTAACTAACAAGCACTTGAGGCTCTCAAGGGAATCACAAAGTAAAAGGAGCTTCGAGCAGACAGCACTGTCCCACACCTGACTGTCCCCAGACAAGCACTGACTTCCACCCCACGTGGGGGAGTCTGGCCCTGATCAGGAATTCCACGCTAGGTTCTACGCGAGACGCTGACCCGCCACACAAAAGTGAAAAGTCCTTGCCCGACAGCTCTTGCCCTGCAGAGACCCCACCTCCAGCCGCCACTTCAAGGCCCGTGTGGGCAGTAGCAAATATTTACCTTCAGGATTTAAGGAAACACAGCTAACTGCCATCCGAGCTCTGGCTGCCTCCAGGCTGAATGACTGCCAGGGAGCTGGATCTGGGGTGAAACAATGGGTTGAAACAATGACATCAGAGGCCTACAAAGCACCTGTCAGAAGCAGTGGGAATATTTTCATTTTTTAAAAATGTGGTTATGTTTAAAATAAGAAATCCAAATGGCTTTTGAAAATCAAGGCATCTTAAGAGATTTGTCTGAATTCCCAAAGTGACTATTTTGAAGGAAACTCACCTCCTCTGGCTACATGATTTGTTTTAAAAATACTCTCGTTTCTCACAGTGATCGACCGGACCATTTCATCTGGCTTCCTCTGCAGTAACCCCACTGCACAGTACGATGGGAGGGCTCCGCGGAGAGCCTAAACCGTGTGTGACCAGGACACGAGGCCTGGGCGCGGGCACAGGGCGCCAACTGGATTCAGGAACATCCGGAGTCGGCTGAGCTCGAGACGGCAGCTCAGCACCGAGGGCACGTTGGCATCACGGGCACCCAGGCACCGCTTGAAGCGATAACCCAGAGCGCCCGGCCCTGAACCCTGACACTGGCATTTCCTGGGAGGCCCTGGGGGGCCCTGCCTGCCACCAGGGTGAGTACCGGGGAGCGGAAGGGACCCAGGGGCTCACTCGGGGTGCGAAGCCCAGGGCCGGCCCTGGCTGCTTCTCGTCTGGGCGGCGCCTGGCTCTCGGATGTCCATTTGAATCACCTGGCCTGAGGCTCGGGGCAAAGCGTGGCCTCAGGAGCCACTTCTAACAGCGCTTCCCGGTTTGGGAACCAAGGTCCATCTGCATCACCGGCACCTGGGCATCTGCTTAAAGCGCAGACTCCTGGCCCTGCCTCACACCCGACACTGTCCGCTGCGGGGCCAGACCCAGGTCTACCTGCCTGCTGCCTCTTTCAAGTCCCTCAACACTTCCGACCAGCAGGACGGAGTGTCGGAAAGACTAGAGCTGTTGATGGCTTTAAATGAAAAGTGAGTGTTTAAATCACTAGAATGGAAAATGACAGCAAAAATGCCCCTTTCCCGCCTGCCCCAAGGCTCCTCTGTCAAGCCCCGTGGAGTCACTCAGCAGCATCTCCCTTCCCTTCCTGTTCACTGCATGTTTTCCCTTCTCAGGAACATTCCCTGTCCTCCCAAATAAGGATCACTTGGAAACAGCCCCTGGGAGTACTTTACAGAGGAAAGGTAAAATTATTAGATTGACCCCAGATCTCACTTTGTGCTTTTATCTACACATTTTTCATATCTTACAGTATTTCATTCAAGCTACGATAAGGCGTGTAATTCCCCTTTAAGTCAGAAGAATAAGGTGAGAAACGGCACTAACTGGTTTGGCCCACTTAGAATTGGCTTGGGGACCTTTTTTAAAAAAATATCTGGGCTATTTTCAATCATTGCCACACACATTTCTACCTTTAAACAGAAAGAAATGGGACCCTCCCAGGTGGGGCAAGGGGTTCAGTCTCAGCACCATGAGGCTCTCTCCAGCCACTGCAGCACGAGTTCAATCCCAGCCAGGGAGTGACCCGCAGGGCACAGCAGACCTCTCCTGTCTCACGGCTGCTTTCCTCCGCAGTGTATTTCAGTGGATCCACTTGACCGGCTCCCCACTCTGTCTCTGATGAAGCTTCTCACCCCCCCACACCTCTGGCCTGTTCCCCAGTCCTTCTATGCATAAATAAATAAATCTTTTTAAAAATGAGCCTGGGTCCACACGGGCTGCAGGGCTGGGGGCAGGCGCGGAGCCTTGGGGGAGGCCCGTCCCCACGCGCCAGCGCGGCTCACACAGCCCTCGTGGGTGCTGACCGGAGTGGCACAGCGTGCGTTCTTGCAGCTTGTGAGATCAACTGCAGAATTCTTCCCGCAGCGTTAGTGAGCACATCCACGAGCAGGGCCCTCTGACAGCTATCTGGCAGTGACCCTGGGGACTCAAACTCAGCCACGCGCCTTCTAGGAGCCCAGTGGAGGGGAGAGGCCGGACGCTCCCAGCGGCAGTGCATCGCGGGGTGGGATGGCGCAAACGGTCTGGCAGAGGGCGGTCTGTGCCACCTCCGCTGACTGCGCCGCGGGACCGTGGGTGACGGGAAATCCTCTCGCCATTTTTATAACGAAGAAAGTAAAGCTTGGAGGGGCCAGCGGCCTTGCCCTGCCAGCCTGCCGGGAGGGGGGCAGCTGACACTCGGAGCGGCCCCGCTTCAACTCCCCTCCGTGCTCATGAGCAGCAGGAGCGACAGTTACATCAACCACACACAGGAAAACGCTCACGTTGGCTACAGACATAGAGTTACACATACAGTAAGATCTGCACTGTAGACCAAAAAAACTAAGGAGACAGAAATAAATCGGAGTGCTGGCAGTGGCTTTCTGGGGGTGTGGGCTGGAAGAACAGGCGGGGAAGGGCTACCTCGTTTCTATTCATGACGAGAAAGCTACTGTAAGAGCGAGGCGCAGGAAGGCCGTCCACTAGACACGGCCGGCACGAAAGCCTGGGTCGTTCCCTGCGGCTCGCTCTGCTCCAGACTGCACCTGTCCTAGACAGACGCCCACACACCTTTAAGATCAACCATACCTTGACGGCATCACCCTGAGCCGGAGAAGCTCACTGCTGGCTACTCAGTTCCAAACAGAGATGGAGCCACGCCCACGACTGTGCACTGTGACTCGCGCACAAAGCCCGAGCGCAGCTGCCACACGAGTGGTCAGTGCAGGAGACTGGAGAGGGAGCGAGGACGCCCCGGACCTAGGCCCTGTCCAGGCTGTGCGCGGGGCGCGTCTCAGCGCTTGAGCAGTGCGGAGTCTGACGCGAGAGCGGCAGGCCCGAGGCCTCTGCGCCACTCAGTCTCGCGCTACAGAGCAGACAAGGCGGGCGCCTGGGTCAGAACTCCAACGTGTGAGGGCTAATACTTGCCACCTTCTGTGCTTCCAAGGCTTTCCCCACTCTGAAGTAGCGGGGTACAGACATTAACATCCGGTGGCTCAGGTTAGGTCCAATCGCTGTCCTGGGAGCCCCAAGGTGGCAGGCAGCTCCCACGGCTTTGCTGTCCCTCCAGAGCAGGCCAGCGGGGAAGCGGGTCGCTAGTGCCACATGTGGGCCCAGTCTGAGGGAGGGGGACAGGGCAGGGAGGTCAACCTCTGTGCCCAGAATCTGTACGCATCACTTGCACCCACACCCTCTGAACAGAGCCAGGGCCAGTCCCCAGTGAGATGATCTGAAGGGAAGGGGGCGATTAGCATTTCTCCTGGCGCAGCGGCCACCTCCTAACCAGGCTCCCGCATGAACCAGAGGCCTGAAGGAAGGGGGAGAACAGCAGGGTTAATGGTGACAGGGTAGAGCGGGCCATGGAGTCTCCAGACAACCCCAAGCCTCTGGGTATGACAGCTTTCTGTCCACAAAACTCTGTTCCCTGGGTAATTCCAGCTGCACAGTAATCCCGAGAACGAAGCCAAGTAACCTTGTGCACAGTTGCCTCGCTCTATCCAGCATTCCCCTCTGGCTACCCATTTGGACTTGAGACTTGTTTTCCAGAGGGAAAGCGGAGACTCAAAAACCCAAGGCCTCGCTCCAGTTCCGCCAGCCAGGCCTGGGGACGCACACACGGCCTCTGGACTCAGCGCTGGCCCTTGTAAAGCCAGGACGCAAACAAGATCAGGGCGAGCTGTTCCAGTGCCACAACTTAAACACCCCTTTGCATCTCGTCCGCCGAGAGCATCTCATCCGCCAAGAGCTCACTGCTGAAGCAGGGGCTAAGGTTGGTCTCTGATAAGAACTGTCCTCACAGCCTTGGGGTGAACGGGAGGGCGTCCCAAGAAAGCAGGTTTCAGACACGTGAAAGAAGGGTCCCCTCATCATCATCTCACACAAGCCATGACGTTCCAGTAATGTTCATGGTTAATGATTTTCCCACTGTTTTTATATTGTTTAATTCAAGATTTGCAGAAAATGTGTCAGGCTAAGAGGTGTGCAAGCCACTGTACGAGAAATGACAATAACCTGTGCTCTCACTGAATCTCCAGGGCAAGAGCGACTTCCCGAAGACGTGCCTCATAAGCAAAGAGTCAGAAGACACAAAGGAAAATTCAATGGTGTGTAAGCGATTCCGTTCTTCCCCTTCTGTTATTTTAGGAAAGAGATTCAGAGGAGTTACAGAGAACTGCATGTAATGATAAAATCTATCAGGACAGTAGGTAATTTATCTTTAAAAGTATCTGTCACCTGGAAAGACTCTTGAAAAGGAGGCAAACCTTCAGAAACATCTTTGCATGGCCACTGCCGGGCCCGCCACAGATGCGACACAGGGCCTTTGCCTGCTCCCAGAACAGTGTCTGGCTTCCGACCTCAGCAAGGCTTTCCACGCAGCCAAGGGCCTTTCATGTCACAGCGCTCCGCTAGCCTCTGTCCGTCTCGAGGCTGCCGCATCACGACCGCTCTCTGAGAAGCGCTCCCGAGGGCGCTCACCAGAGGTTCCATGTGGGTTCGCTGCCGAAGTCGCATGCCTGCAAGCTCTACCTCAGAAACCCACGCCTTTCCCAAAAAAGAAAACAAACGGATTTAAAATAAAACTCAAACCTTCACAAAAACAGTGTCATCGTATTTATTACTTCCGTTAGGGTGACATGTTATGAAGACTCCCTAAGATCAAGGCTTCTTGACATGCAAGAGTTAGCATGAACTGCCGATCACTCCAAAGCCTGCTGCCTGGAAGCCGTACAGCGGGTTTCGAGTTGAGACTACAGACCTTTATCCTTCGGTCTCATTCCGTGGGTTAAATCAGAAGGTTCTGAAGAGCTGGTTGGGGAGGTAGCCGAGGTGCAGGAAGGAAGTCTGCGCCTCCTTTTCCAGGGCAGCCAGCTCTTGCACTGTAGGGGCCAGTACGTCCACGTGGCCTTTATAGCTCCCACCTGCACGCACACAGCACAGGGAAGTAAGCGATGCGCCTGGAGTCGCCTGTCAGCACTGCTTTGGCTGTGACAGCAGAAGACGTTGCTTCTCGCTGTAAAGACGTACTACCGGGCGAGTTCCCGCCAAGCTCTAAGTTTTTAAATTGCTAAATCCACACAAAAGGATGAGGCCCCACTAACAGCTGCTCCGATACCTGCCACCCCTCGCCATCCTCTTCCTGGGTTTAGAAACCCCAAGTTCAGCGCCAATCTTAAGGGTATATTTTAGGAATGAGCAAAGGGACTAGAAGGCTGGATGAGGCGTAAATATAGTCAGCCGTCAATTTGTTCAAAAGGTCCATTCTGCTCAACTCCCAGCGGCGCCACAGACGCCCACCGCTCCCCTGGCACCAACACCGAGACACCCGGGAGCGGCGGCCTCCCTGTCACATCTGGGGCATAACGCAAACCAGCAGACAAGACAGTAAGGGCCCGATGTCGGCAGTGAGAAAGCCGTGGCGAATACGCTAAGACTACACTCATCATATGGAGCCACCGGCTGTCATACTGACGCCCCCGGGGCCGGTCACGTGCAGGGACGCGACGGCGCGCAAGGGCAGCTCACCGCCAGCGGCCCGCTTCTGGCCGTAGGTGACTTTCCCATCAAATTCATCCACCGGGACTTTGATGTCTGGCTCCACCTGAGAAATGGTGCAGTTCAGGTGCTCCTCGATCTCAGACAGCAGCTAAGAAAAGGAGAAGAAATGAACACATTTGCAAATGAAAAGCTCATTCTGCCAGAGCGGCGTCTGAACAGCACTGAGCAAACCCAGGGAGGCTGCGTCCTCCGCGTGGAGGGAAGTCAGGCTCCTGACGAGGTGAAGAAGGTACCTCCATTGCCACCACTGTCCCTCTCACTGACAACCAGAGAAAGGCTGTGCGGCCCCTGCGGCAGAGTGTCTATCGTGCGCTCCCGAGTGTTACCTGCATCTCGTTGTACCAGATGGTGCAGCCACCGTCCTCCTTGAGCCTGGTGTTGTAACAGCCCTTCCCGCGGCTGCTGCACACGTGGTACCAGACCTGGAGGGGGAGGCGGGAGCGCGCTGAGCTGAGACGGGCCGGACGGCCGTGTTCCCAGTTTTTCGCTATTTTCTGTCCTCACAGCCCAGAAGCAGCCTGCAGGTCCGCCTGGAGCCCCAGATACCCCACCCGGCAGCTCATGAGCTAGGGCTTCCGAGGACCCCAGAAGTTTTCTGAAATGGCTGTCAGTCAGAGAAAGGAATTCTCAGACAAAGCAAGGGTGGGAAGGAAATACCCGAGAACGAGCTAACAAGCTCAGGTCAGAAATAAAGTTCAGATGTGTCTAGGAGAGATCAGAGAAGAGGTGCTGTGGGCACCGAGACCGGTGGGAGGACGGGAAGTCACGTGTCCTCGCCACGCTCTGTGAATTTGTAGTCCTCTCAGAAGAATGATTTACTCACCACACGTCACCTGTGGCACCGTGCCAGAGACGGCTTCCATATTTTTGGTGAAAACAATTACATGAAAGGTTTTAGGGAAAGGCATGTTTTATGTTGCTCCTTCCTACACCTCACACTATCTAGTCATTCAATGAGTATACAAAACACATGACAAAAGTTGCATATTCCATATGCAGCCAGATTCAACTAAGTGGAAGAAAAAAATCCTTTATCTCCAACATCTGCAATGACAACACGCTGCTACCCCACGGCCTGAAAGATTACCTTCTCTTTTTCTGTTGCCACCAGGGAAATGGCCAGCCCCATCCTGAAAGATCAGAGAAGGCGCATGATTAGACTTCATTCTGGAAGCGCAGACGCTTCAAGAGGAGAAAAGAAACGCCTGCAGTACCTTTCTGCTCTTCCCACTCTGCCGATCCGGTGTACGTAGTTCTGCTTTTCATCAGGCAGGGTGACATTTATCACTGTAAATAGAAATGGTCATTACAACTGCCACAGGTTTCTAAAATCTTCAAACATATTAGATCGTTTACTCTAAGCCTCATAAAATGCAAATTGCAGGCATACAAAAAAATTTTTATTTACCATAAGGGACACCATGGATGTCAATTCCTCTGGCGGCAACGTCTGTACAAATCAAGAATCTTACATCTCCTTTCTAAAGAGAAGAGAAAGGAATTATTACTATGCACACAGAAAAAAAACAAACTCAAAACCAGAAATACTTGCCTTCCTACTAAGTGAGACCTCCATCATTGCTACCAAGTTAGAGGTCTGGATATTCATAGTTCACTGGGTCAAGTCTTGAACTTTTAAGTTAGAATCTGCTGTCATATCTAAGGTGAGTAAATCAATGACTGGATTCATTTTTATTCACTTTTCTTATAACAAAAATACTAGACCAGTGCTAAAATTTGGCTTATCTCTAGAAATCCAGGCTAGTAACAGAGAAAGAACAAAATGCAAAACTGTAGCATCACCTTTGTCCTTCTGTTAAAACAAATTCAGACTGCAATCACGGCCAGCAGGTCAGCTTGTCCAAGCCCGGCACTCCCTGCTTCTCCGTGCCGGGGCCTGAGATAAGACGCTGCTTGTCCCACAGCAGGGAGCACACAGAGTAACTAGGGGCTGCCACGGGGGAGCTGCGCTGGCCCCAGCTCTCCGACACCAGGGGACAGACGATGAAAATGTCTCATCCCACAAAGCCATGCTGACAGCTGTCTACTAATCTGTTCTGAGTATTAAAAAAACTGCTCTATGAAAACTATTAAAAAATGCTCACAGTCATGGCTTAGCTACCAGGTGACACTTCTAGAAACACCCATCTCAGAGAAGGTACCTAAGGCTTTGCTAACGGGAAACTCCCACAGCAGAGCTGTGCGATGGGCCAGAAAGCGCCTGACAGGATGGCGATGTCCTGCCCTGAGCAGATGTGCCAGCAGGGGAGGCATACTCTGAAATTTCTAGCACAAGAATTGTTTTGATAATATTAGCTGAAATTGATTAAATCTAAGCACAACTCCTCTCAAGTATTTAGGAAATGAAGTTGATGAAGCATCAATACCTTAAATCTTTCCAAGTTTTGCTTTCTCTCCTGAGGCTTTCTGTCACCATGAAGACAAACACAGGAGAACTGGTGTCCTTTTTGATCAGGTCCTAGTGAAAAGACCATTAGACAGTTAACCTTGGAAAACATTACACCCAAGAATGAAAAAAAAGGACAATAAAAAATTCTCTCTACAGGGCCCTCCCTGGTGGCGCAGCGGGTTAAAGCACAGCACTGAGAAGCTAAAGCCACTTCCGCATGAGTTCGATTCCCGCCTGCCCCGGAGGAGATCCACATGGCGTGGCAGACCTCTCCTGACCCGCCCGCTGCTCCCCTCAGCAGTGTACTTCCTAGATCTGCCTGTTCTGCTTTCTGCTCTGTCTCTGGTGAATCCTCTCACCCTCCGCATCTCTGGCCTGTACCCCAGTTCTGTATGAATAAATAAATAAATATATTTAAAATAAAAAAAAAAAATTCTCTCTACAGATACCCTGCTATTACGCCCCTTCCCTACCCCCACCCCACCCCCCATAAAGCACCTGTCAGAGGCAAACGCCACTACAGCGAGGCTCTAGACATCCAAACGGATTTACTGTTTGGGTCACTTTCCTGGCCTGCAGGAACAGACGAGGCATGAGGCAGTATGCCGGCCAGAAACAGTAACATCAGTGTGCAGGAACCTCGCCTGTCTCATTAAAGTGGAAAGCCAAAAGTAGGCCCAAGGGAGCACTTCCTGAGGAATCAAGGCAGGCCCTCTGCAGCCTGAGGCCGCACTAGAAAGGCCAGCCCACGGCTGCCCTCAGGTATGCTAAGCAAGCAGACAGCAGGCGGACGGCGGCCGGAAGCTGGAGGGGCTGGCGCGGCGGCGGCAGCGCAAAGGAAAGAAGCTCTTCACCAGGAGGGTAAGCACAGCGCAGCCCCACGGAGAAAGGCAGACAGCTGCTGGAGCGCAGCAGACCCGGGGGCACTGTGCGATGGCCCAGGCAGGGCGCTGTGGGCACTGCGAGACACTGGACACACTGCGAGCCAGAGAGACACTGTGACACACTGCCAGAGAGACACTGGAGACCCTGGGAGACACTGTGACACACTGCCAGAGAGACACTG